TACATGTTGATTCAGAAAACAGTGGCACTGTTTCTAAAAGTAGAGGAACACATAATAATAAAGATTCATATAAACATGAGTCCTAAAATGAACTCTCACCGCGTTACAGGTTTGAGTTATAATTTTGGAATTGGAAATAAATTATATCTCTAGAGGGATTAAGATATCGTTTTGAAATTTTGCATATATATATATATTACGTGAGAAGTAGTCATTGCCACAGCCAACGACCAGTTGAGTACAAAATACAATTACTTGTTAATTGGGAAAATTGGCAAAACTTTTAGGCTAAAGTTGACTCTTTTGACGATAAAATCAAGCTTTCGGCATTCTCTATGGAGCCATCATCAGGATTTCGTCGGTGAGGTTGCAGCCACAAGGTGTTTCAGAAAGAACGTAGAGAAGATCGAACTTGTCTTCAGTATAAAAACAAAAGGACGGGGACATTGGGCTTGTTAAAAACGACAGATACCTTCGTTAAAAGTTAAGAAAAATAAAAATTTTTATCAATAAACCCGAACAAGCTAAAAATACTGCACGTGGGGAGACATTTAGGTTTGTTTCAACAAGTAATTATATATATATATATATATATATATATAGCTTCCGCCTTTTGTTGGGTACTTCGACAAAATCTAAGCAAAGAGGACTCTTTATACTTTTTTTAATTCTCTCTAGCTTGGACTTTGCCATCATCATCAGGAGCTGCAATTACAATGATAACAGTAGCAACAAAAGTGTAAAATGAATTTAAATTGACTCAACTTACAGTAGTATGTGAGGATGTTGCTAATTGTTGTTTACGTATAGGATGAGGGAAACGTCCAGTAACATGGTGAGAGCTGGATAGATGGTACAATGGTCAAAATTATATAAAATATGACAAGAACCAGTTAAAAACAGATTAAAAATTATTTAAAAAACATTAGAGCATTACATCGTGAAGCCACTTGATGAATGCACAAAATGGTGGTCATGGAATAATGAGTGAGATGAACCCTTTGACAGAAGGCCGAAGGTAGTCAATGTCTGTGTTGAAAGATGGAACGAATTGTGGGCGTGTGCCACACGTTGCCAAATCACTTCAGATGATGTGATTTTCAGAATGTTATGTAAGAAATTGTTAAACCGACCAGAGGCAGTTGAATAAACTATATTTTAATTAATGGGAATTTGAATTAACAATTATTAATAAATCGTGAGAAGAGAATTATTAGATTTTGAGTGGAATGAAATTTACTGGTGGAATCGGCCAAAACACAGATTCTATTTATGGTTGTGAAGAGTCGAAATTTGGGGAGATATGTAAGTTCTCCAATTTTTCGCAGTTTAGCAAATATGAGTAAATCAGTTGTTTAACATCTGTCTTTTTGTTGATACAGTTGTTATTCATGAAAATGTGGGACATTTCCAGGAATAAACGTTTGGAAAGGTGTTTTTCTTTATCAAGAACTTTGATACTTGTGTAATTCATAGAATGCCCTGTTGTGTTAACATGAGATGCTAGAGCACATCTTTCAGGATGAAGCCTAGCATCACTTTTGTGTGATGTAATCCTTCCTTTAAGCGATCTGGAGGTCTGACCTATGTAGAGAGAATTAAAAAAAGTATAACGAGTCATCTTTGCTTAAATTTTGTCGAAGTACCCAACAAAAGGCGGAAGCCTTAATTTTTCACCTAACTGGTCTAGACGACAATGACCACGTCTCAAGTTATATATATATATATATATATGTGTGCAGGGTGTCCCGCGAGGTAAGGGACACAATTTTTCTGCATGTTCCCCAGGTCATTCGAGTCAAAAAAGTCGTATGAACATGGGTCCGGAAATGCTTCCTTATCGAGATATGATTTTTTTATTTTCAGTGGGCGAAAACGACAATATTGTTGGAAAATTGATTTTATTTAACAAAAAATTTAACACTGTCCATATGAAAACAACTGTTTACAATAATTAAAGTCCAGATTCACTATGTACTGCCCGATTAATACATTGGTGTTTGTTTGTTTGTTGACGGAGTAGTTGTGTCAGTTTGATTGAACTTTGCAAAAAGTATTTAAATAACACTTTTCCTGGACGTTGGATTGGACGAGGGGGCGCAGTTTCCTGGTCACCCCGCTCGCCCGATTTAAATCGCTTGGATTATTACTTGTGGGGACATATGAAGGCTTTGGTGTATGCAGAGAATTCGCATATCAGGCCTGAACTGCTCCATAAAATTACTGATGTCGCTGACGACATACATACGAGGGATGTCTTTTAAGTTTTGCATATGGAAATAAAACAACACGGTAGGTAGTTTTAAATGACTTTATTGTTTTTAGAAGTATTCTCCACCAAGATTAATACACATCTGCATGCGCTCGAACCAATTTTCGAAGCACTTATTCCACTCGTTTGCTGGCAGATCCAAAACGGCATTTTTGAATGCGTCAACTGCTTCTTCTGGTGACTGGAACCTTTGACCACGCAGTCTGTTTTTAATTTTTGGGAAAGTAAAGAAATTGTTAGGACTTACATCGGGACTATATGGAGGATGGTCCAATAATTCCACGTTTTCTTCCGTTAAATACTGCCTTGTTTTTTGGGCTGTGTGCGAGCTTGCATTGTCTTGGTCGAGGATGATTCTTTTTTCGGGGTTGATTTTTCCAAGCTCGGTGATGACTTTTGGCGAACAAATGGTGGTATACTAATCCGCAGTAACAGTTCCTTGCTCATTAAGAGAAATTGTTGCAATATGACCCGCTTTTGACACAAATGTCGAGACACTTCGAGAACGGATGACTTTTGTTGGCTTTTCTTCACCTTGGAACACCCAAACAGCCGACTGTCGTTTATATTCTCGTTCATAATAGTAAATCCACGATTCATCACCACTAACAATGCTGTACACATTTTTGAGTTTCCGGAACTGAAACGGTCAAGCGTTTTTTGACACCAATTAACCCTGGCTGCTTTCTGCTGTTCAGTCAACAGATGGGGTATTCAACTCCTAATTCATGTAAAATTTTTTGGATTGAGGTCTGAGATCTTCAAGGACGCCTCAATCTCGCGATATGTCACAAGTCTATCTTCAACGATGAGTTTGCGCACAGCATCGACGTTTTCCTGGCTGACTGCCGTTTTTGGGACACCCACCCTGGGATCGTCGCTAAGACTCACCCGTCCACGTTTGAATTCTCCATACCAACGGGAAATTGTCGACTGATGTGGCGCTTCGTTGCCGAAAACAGACAGTAACTCAGCAAGGCATTCTTGTTGCGATAATTGTCTCTGAAAGTTGTAATAAATTATGGCGCGAAAATGTTCTCGGTTGAGTTCCATTTTTCTAATGACTTGGTGACACTTAAAAATTCACTGTAGTGAGAACACTGCACGTATTGTTTTGAAACTTTCAATTTAAGTTTACTAAAGAGTGAGGTTAAGATTCAGTACTGTCGTTCGATCCGCGCGGCCTACTATATTTCTATATGCAAAACAGACATCCCTCGTAAGTATTAATCGTCTTGTTATTGGGAAAGCCACCAGTCACATTATTAAACCGGCTAGACTATGTTTACAGTGTGAAGGTGGACACTTTGAATAACTATTGTGAATAGTTATTTTTATTGTACCTAGTAATTTTGTCTTAAATAAAAGTAATTTTCCAACAATATTGTGGTTTTCCCACCATTAGCACCCTAAAAATAAAAAAATCATTATCTCGATAAGGAAGTATTTGCAGACTCATGTTCATTGGACTTTTTCCACTCGAATTGACCTGAGGAACACGTAGAAAAATTTTGTCCCTTACCTCGCAGGATATGGGGAGACAGAGAGAAAATTATCATGTGGAGAAAGGTATATAACAAAAAATATGAAAATAATGGGCAAAATCCGCAAAAAGAAGGAAAGTGGATTCGAGCAGAAAATATGATAGGTAACCCGAGCGATACGTATTTCTGCTGGTTGGCTTCATCAGGCTCGAAATGAATGCACATATGCAACTACAAAAGTAGATACACATGCCCATACATCCGGATACGGGTGTAACCTGAGGAAACGAAGAGGGAGAGGAAAAAAATGACACACGAAGTCCACAACACAAGCCAACCTACATATTGTAGTATAAAATGGCTAGAAGACCTCGAATTTTCAACTAACCACAACCACGCGGCCGGTTATAGCCACTTGCTGTGATACTTCAAGCCCTACAAAGAGATCCTTTCACTTTCCTTCTTTTTGCAGAGTTTGCCCATTATTTTCCTATTATATATATATATAAAAAGCACAAGCAATATAAAAAAATGTTCTGCCTGAAAATTGTGAAATTTTAAGCCCTACGGGAAAAAAGTTCTATGTCAATGATTATAAATGAAACGTCTGTTTCATTTTTGAGCAAGGTGCTCAATTTTACATGAATCGCCTCGCTTGACAAATTTTTGTCAGATTACTCCTGTTGAAGAAAAACAAGTTTGAATATATTAAGAGAAATTCAGATAAAAAACTTTAAGCTGTTCTACTTTGAAAATACACTGAGGTTAGTGAAGTTTGACAATGGAAGTTGTATGTAGGACAGTAATCCTATCTCACCATAGTGTTATTTGAACAATTTTCATGTTTTGTCCTTATTCAATCTGATCAGTGGCTTAGAAATTTACATGGGAATGGAACACTTCAAGACACATGTTCATAGGAACTTCTGTTATTTTTGGATGAATTCACGGTAACAGTTGTTGCTAAATTTATTGAAGTTTTTGCAATAAAAAAGTATAAAAGAAATTGTTATGATCACTCCACCATGTTAGCAAGAGCAGCTGTGCACATGGTACATTATTAGTCGATCTCTTTATTCATTTCGTATGACATTCATATCTGTCACGATACAAAACTTTGTGCTGAATTTAGTATGCTAAATTAATGCCCAATTAAGTACAAAATTTTATATCGTGGTGGACGGCCTTGAGCGCCAAACCCTATGAAAAAAAAATGGAAATAGACCAAATCCTGGTTGTCATACCTGCTCAGGTTTCGTCTCGGTCACAATACCCCCAACAGAATGGTGCACAGCAGCTACTGTGGTGGTTTGCATTATAGGCGTTTGCTGCTGCACAACAATCCTCGGTTGCTGAACAACCTGCGCCGTCGTCTGATTGACAACTACGCCGCCGTCTTCCTCCAATGACGATCCTTTGGACTCTTCGTCCATGCAATCTTCATCAATCTCCGCTTCCATTTCATGTTGCTCTTCTTCGCTGGCACTAGCAGCTCCATCGATTTGTTGCGACTCCTCCGTGATAGTTGGAGGGGCATCTTGGGGTTGGTCCGTGCCCGCTGAGGTGAATAATGGCACCAGGTGGACAGGGGAGGAGGTAGCGGCAGCTCCCGATAAGGAGACCACCTCCTCGCCACCAACCACCCCTGTCGGTTGCTGGTCGTGGGGATCCAGGTCACTGGTTTATGCTGAAACAATACACATTTCTATTTAACCCTTTTTGTTCTACTGGTCTCCAGGTGGTATACTCTTGAACACGGTACAATTGAATGTTTACTGTCGAATGCTCCCCAATTCGGACAGCTGTTGTGTGAGGGAGAGAGAGAGAGAGTCACCTTTCTCTCAGTTATTCTACTCCATTGTTTTAAGAACTAACCCCCTGGGATGACCACCAATTTATAAGTTGGCTCCTGATGGTGTTCTGACGATACCACGAGCATTACAGGTTGCGTATGGTTTAGAATTTTTATCTACAAGGAATAAAAGCAAATGCTCTGATTTGTGTGATTTGGCTAGTCTGGGGATAGAAAATCAAGTTACAAGTCAAATTTCTTCATTAAACAGGCATCATAAACCCATTCATTCTACCTAAGGTAATTGGCTGTGTAATACTAGTGGCAACATACTGTATAAAATTTGAAGAGTAAATATCATATGCATTACTAATCTAAACATATCTATAGTATAAAATGAACAAATTTTTGACGTTAACATTTTTTATAGCGACACTTTCCGAATTTTATACCAGCGGCAGAAACAAATAAACTACCATCTAGGCGACAAGGCCCAGGCTAGCTAAAGGCGGGTCCAGACATATGTAATGTATCGTGTAATGTAACATGTAATGTAATGCGAATTCATTTGGACGCTACCTGAGCATAGAATGAATGCAACCAGAATACTTACCGCGAATTGTTTATCCATTTAGTATTCGCGAACATGTCGAGGGACGTAGTAGTTGCGGGAGCTGCATTTATAGCTATGTATTTACTCGTGGAGGAAAATGAAGATGAAAATAAACCACGCCGTCGTCGCCGTTGGTGGAAAACACAATTATATAAAAAAAGAGCCGGTTCGGAATTGATGATTGATTTAAAATCTCAGGAATTAAGTGGGCAATACAAAAACTTCACACGTATGTCACCTATCGATTTTGAATATTTAATTACTTTAGTCGGACCAAAAGTAGGAAAATATGATACCCCAATGAGAGCTGCTATATCAGTTCAAGATTGATTAGCACTTACAGTGAGATTTTTAGCAACGGGGGATTCTTACACAAGTCTACAATACATTTTCAGAATTTCAAAGCAATCTATTCCCTTGATTGTCCCAGAAGTTTGCTTGGCAATTATTGAAGCCATAAAAGAAAATATACGGGTAAGTTTTTAATACTTATTTATTACCTTTTATTTAAATTTAAATTTAGTTTTAAATTTAGATAGTAATGTTAGTATAAGAAACATATGTTTGTTAATTTTACACCAAATCTTGAATGTCGAAAGATTCTTGAGATAGTTGTGAATAGGCGGGAGATGGCTCAGAAAACGTTCCATATGGGGAAATAGCGGGTACCTCCACACGTACGGGAGGTGCGGGCGTTTGAGAGGTAGTGCATGTCGTATTGTTGCTAGGCCATTGCTGTAACTGCTGTGGGTACTGTTTAGGATAAAAATTATAATATCCTTCATCAGCTTTAAATAATACATCTGTTATAGCACGCTCTACAGCATTCCGAACATTTGGTGGATACCTCATCATTTTGCTGCCAATGAAATTAATAAAGTGAAGATTTTCGTTATCTAATGAAACATTTGATGCAGGTTGAGTCTGAGTGGTCGTTGTCTTTAGTATGTCGAGGGCTTCAGCTAGCATTTCAATTTTTTTGTTGATTTCTCTAGGTTCCGTGTAACTTCTCTTCTTTTTTGGTGGTTGCGAATGTGAAATGGACTCTCTTGGCATGTCTGATTCCTTCACACTATCATTTTGATCATTTCTAGAAACACTGTTACTTACGACGTCGATGTCTACTGCCTGCAACAAAATATAATTTTTAAATTTTCAGGTTCCAACTACTCCAGCGGGGTGGAAAGAAATCTCAAAAAAGTTTGAAGAACTATGGAATTTTCCCCATTGCATTGGTTCTATGGATGGAAAACATGTTATTATCGATGCTCCAATTCACAGTGGAACTGAATATCGTAACTACAAGTCATTTTTCAGCATTGTTATGTTTGCCGTAGTGGATGCGGAATATAATTTTTTATTTGTGGATGCCGGATGTCAAGGCAGAATATCAGATGGTGGGGTATTTAAGGATACAATTTTTTTCAAAAAATTGGAAGCTGATAACTTGGTTTACCGCTAGCAGAAACTTTAGTTGGAAGAAATAAAGAAGTGCCTTATGTTCTTGTAAGTGACTCTGCATTTCCACTAGCTGAACATATAATGAAACCATATCCAGGAGATTTTCCTAAAGGTTCAAAGCAAATAATTTTCAATTACCGTTTAAGTAGAGCGCGGAGAATTGTTGAAAATGTTTTCGGAATCATAGCTTCAGTTTTTAGAGTTTTACGTAGACCAATACTTCTCCAACCCCAAAACGCTGAGATTGTAGTCATGACCATTGCACATCTACATAACTTTTTAAGAAAAAATTCTGAATCACAAAGATATTACACACCGCTTGGATCTTTCGATCGTGAAGAAGCGGGACAAATTGTTGAAGGATCTTGGAGAAATGAACCAAACACAGGTTCATTACTTCCACTTAGGAATGTACCACGAAGAGCTCCTTTGATAGCAAAACACATCAGAGAAGAATTTTCTGATTATTTCTGCAATGAGGGAAAAGTTCCATGGCAAGATCGATACTGTTAAATAGTATATACCATATGTATAGTTTATAAACTGTATTTATTATTGCATTTATAAAAAATACTTACCATAGAATTAAGTCTTTTTCTTGGATTGTCCCTGTCTCCCAAAAATGCCAGTGCTTCATAGGCAAACCATGTGCTTTGATATATTTCTTGACTGCCTGCAAAAAATAAAAATAAATGGTATAAAAATGGTAACAAAGCACAGTATACTGTCTACTCCACAACTAATTTAATTTTTAAGGGTATATTATTACCCAATTGTCTATTATCTATAGTATTGTCAATGTGAATAATTTCGAATTAATAACGTAGTAAATTTAAAAAAAAAGATAATAGCCAAGTTTAAAAAATCGGATTAAGATTTTACCGTAGGTACTAAGTATTTAATTAAGGGATAAACATACCTTTTCCGGTTCCTAGGTGCTTCTTTACTTTCGCCTTCTCTCTGCGATAGGATGCAAATAAACTAATCATTTTATGTTTGCACTCTTCTGCTTCTATCCCCAGAGAGTCTGCAATTTTTCGCCAAGCATCATTTTTTAATGGTTTTTTAAAATATGTAGGGTCTTTCGGATTCCATAAGACTGACTGATTTTTGTACAGTTCAATTAACTCTAGTGACTTTTCTTCACTCCACATTTTAAAAATAACACCTCAACTAACACTAAATACGATTTATAGACGTTATTAATTTATCCCGAACTAGGGCTCGATGTCGCAATAACACATACAACTCGAATCACGTCCAAACGTAGACTGCGAGCTCAGCGCGAGCGCCTTTGTGGTCGGGCAAAAAACCGACATCCGATGGATTCCCTCGAACCATTCGGCGAGCGTTACACGTAATGCTCGCAGTTCCGTCCAAACGGAGAATTCGCGTTACATTACACGATGCATTACACATGTCTGGACGCGCCTTAAGACTAATATTGTTCAACATCTGTGGTTTTAATGATCGAAATAGCATCTCGTCGATTCATGACCATATATCAAAGAAAAAATGTCACACAAATATAACTCGTCTAAATCTAAAAGTATCAATAGGATTCTTTTAGAAAGAGATAAAGATCATCCATGTTTGTCTGGCCGATAAATGAAACCACATATGTTTGAAATACTGTTTACCAATGATGACGTTTTGGCCACAAAGGTCGCCTTTTTAAAGTACAATATTATAATTCTGACAAAATATTTTGTTCATCTTCCTTCCAGGTGACACTTTGTGGTGTTTGTTTTTCCTTTCTTTCTCACGTTCCTATACAGTGTGTCATTATAACGGTTCTGTAACATGCTGAGATTGCGCGAATACATCACTGCAGTTATAAGATCTATACCTGGCCGGATTTAATAATATTTGCATCACTTAAGACCATCACAAAAAGCTAAGCAACCACAAAAAAAATAGATTCTAAAACATGGTCAACGACCTTAATAGTGTTTCACTATTACATGTTTTCAAATAGTAGATATTACTGTTGCATCTTCATTACAGGGGCATAACAGTAACCAGATATTGATAAAGTCTCTGAACGAAATGATTGAGTGCGTGGAATATTCCAACGTGACTATATCCGTTTTTCTTCAATATACTATATCTTGTTTACATAAACAGTTATGCACACTATAATGAAATTTTTATCTGTAGTTTTTAGATATAGAAGAACTTTAAACTCTCATGCTTCCTCATCTGTAATTATAATCTTTTGGACAACACTCTGATTCAGTTTCCAACATTCACATTACTACCAAGATTTTAAGTCCATTGTAAACACGATGGACATCCCAAAATTATCTGAACACTCAAATATTTAAAAAAAAATGGCGTCAGGTCGACTCTGCACTTCCCACGCAAGGCTGTCATCAGTTCATAAATTATTAGGGCACAAGATAACCCCTCTGAGGTAAAAGCTACGAACATGTATAATATAAAATTAAGTCGATTCAGTCAGCCACACTGACCTATACAGTTTGACCATAGTCCTCAACCATTCGACAACACTAGGAACTTCCCTGCCCTACCGAAAGTATCGGCCATCTCGCTCGTTACTGAACCACATCAGTCAGCCATGTCAGCGGTCGCAGACAGGATTTTGTGCTCATACGTAGAGGTTTGTAGCGGCGGCGCCCGCGACGCGTCTATTGAAAACATTTTTCAATAGCAATGATGTGTGAAATATGTACTAACAAGAGCGTATATTTATTTATTTCCTCTCGACAAAAAACACTGTATAGGAATTGCCATACATTTTCAAATCTTAAAAAAACTATATCTAACAAAAAACAGTCAAATAGTAAAAAATAAGATTTAACGGCATATATCACAATATTCTTCCACACTAAAAAAACTATATCTAACAAAAAACAGTCAAATGGTAAAAAATTACATTTAACGGCATATATCACAATATTCTTCCAAGTGATTCTTAAATTTTTTTGTGTGGCAATTCTTTATTTCCAAAGGAAGTAGGTTAAACATTTTTAGGCCATTAAGCTACTTCACTCATACATACTTTTATTATCCCCTGTAGGCTTTTCGCAATTAGATCACTATGTTTCGTTTTTTCTTTCTCCTTTGCGACAACATCCAGGAGCTGTTCAAAATTATCAACTTTGTTATTCAGTTCAACTATCTGATCATCTTTCTTTATCAGCTTCCACCTTCTTCAGCCTTTTTTTTTACTCCAATTTGAGCTTTTTTCAAGTATTCAAGATTATTAGCTTTTTGTCTTGGATGGTATACATTCTTGAACATTTTATCAATGCAATCTGGACAGAACAGGAATCACTGATGATGGAGACGTGTAAACATCGAGACGTACCCGCAACGACCAATTTTTAACACCCAAAAAAATTTTGCGAAAATGATCAGGAGCCTGTGAAACGTCACAAAACGAAATTTGAGTTATTTTTATCGTCTCTTGTCCATAGCTCTGGCGCCATAACTTTTTTTCATTGACACAATAGTAACCTTGTGTGAAAATTTCATCAAAATCGTATTGCGTATTTTGAAAAGTGACATTTCTTCGTTTTTTTGCGGCATAACGTAGGTTTTTTTACAAGATGTTAACTTAGCACAAGCTGAGGTACACTTGTGAACTCGTTTTGTAGTTGTACGTGTTGCGTGGAATGAACTATTTGCACACTAAAAACTACCTAGTCTGCAAGATAACATTTAGTGGTTTTTTTAAGGTTTTTTACATACTGGTATTACATCTTGAAAAATGACATATTCTCTTTTTTTGACATTTTCTCCCCTTTTTCTTATTCACTCTGGAAATTACATAAGTAAATTTGTTAAAATTCAAAAATGAGAGAGATAAGAAAAGGGAATTCCTGGTTGGTGAAATATATATTCCAAGAAAAATGAGAAAATAACTACAAGCAGGAATATCTATGGAACGTAAAAAAATTATTACATTATTGGCTCGAGTGTAGATAACACAATTTGCACATAAGATAAAATAATTATTTATTTATATTATAGATTTCCATGTGTATAAATAGTGTGTCTAGGTATTTTGGGGTAACATCAAGAGTAGAATATTTTGATATTTACATATTACTACATATTTCTTAGACATAGTTACGGACAGTGTCATTCTATGTAGTGACAGCAATACAGATACTACCGCCACTTTTATTAATTCGTGAATGTCTTTATTAAATTCATAATAAATATTCAAACTGCCTTCCTTCAGCAGCAATGCAAGCTTGACGTTCACAATCTTACGTTAAGGTGGGATTACAGAGGCAACAGTGAACGACACGTGGCATGCTACTTGTTTCCTAGTGTTGCCTCTTGTTGACATTCGACACTGTTGCCCAAAATTCTATTAATGCCGCATGCGGATTCTGTTCCCCCATGTGGCATGCGCTTTGTCGTACAGTGAAGCATGCATCTTCACGATTCAATTCAGGCAACTTCAGTTTAGTACGTCATGTCATAACAAACAGTCGCGGTGGCTGATTCTTTAGTAATTTCTTTGGATCGGAAAAAAAAAAGAAAAACGCCAGAATATTGGATAATACGAGGGTGGTCCCACAAGTACCCGACCCAACGAAGAAAACACAAAAATTTTGTAAAAAAATGTATTTATTTTTCACCATAACCTCCTTTGAGCTCTATACACTTTTCCCAGCGATGTTCAATAAGTGCGATACCCTTTTTATAATAAGAACTGTCTTGCTCCTCGAAATAGCCATTAACTGCCGACATGACTTCTTCATCGTTGGAAAATCTTTGACCGCATTGTCTTGATGAAACAACACTTTCTTCTTAACCAAATGGGGCCCTTTTTGCTTGATTTCATCGCTCAAACGTTGCAATAAGTTCGCATAATAATCGCCGTTCATAGTTTTACCCCTTTCAATATAGTCAATGAAAATTATCCCACGCGCATCCCAAAAAACCGACGCCATAACCTTGCCTGCAGATGAAACGGTCGTCGCTTTCTTTGGAGCCGGTTGTCCCTTTTGAGTCCATTGTTTTGATTGTTCTTTTGTCGCGGTTGTAAGTGTTGGAGCCAGGTTTCATCTTCACGGCACTGTTTTTGCTCGATTGTGAGCAAGCGCGGCACCCATCTCGGCCTTGTTTAAACTCTGCTACCCAATATTTTACTGTTATAAACGAAGGGGCAGACTCACCCAGAGTAGAATCCAGTTCAGCTTTTATATTGGTTGACCAACTTTCTCTATTTTCACAAAATCACTGAAAACGTTCAGTACTGATGGCTGCCAAACAAATACTAAACAACGTGGCGTCTTCAAACTTGACCCATATGCTTTATAGGTTGGATAGTTTCTAATACAATGATATTTTTCAAACAACTATCGCCATATCTAGGTCAGGCCGGCTACTTCTGAGACCACTCTCGTATATACCCCTTTCTTGAAGATGATCCACTCTTTTTTTCACGTATTTTTTTTTTTTTTCGTTCCCGATGGAACGCCGAACGCAAATTCTTATTTTTTTTTCAATTTCCAATACTGAACAGTTGTATTTTCATATTTATAGAACTTAACCATTAATAAATAAGCCAACTATGTTTGCCTCATCATCGTACATGGGCTGCCAGAATTATATTTACATGACAATTCCCGTAATTTATCCTGCTTTAGTCTTTATATCTTTCGGATTTATTGTTCCATAATTCACCCGAATTATGGTAATCTTCAATTAATCATAATATTTTCTCATTGGTCCACTCCATTTTGTCACCTGCTCCAAGCCGCACCGATCCGAACGGGTTTGGATAGCCGGCGACACTGATCATGTCGCTGACTGCGCTCTCAAGAGGCAACAACGGGCATGCGACAAGGAGATATATTTTTTGTCGTTTTGTCTTGCCTCTATGGAAAGACAGTGTCTACATGCGTCAATGCCGTATACTACATGTTGTCCAGTGGAATCATGTAAAAAACCTATAAAACGTCAAAAAAAACCTATAAGATCTCATCTTGCAAACTATATAGTTTTTAGGGCGCAAACAGTCATTCCACGTTTGATCACTAGGATCGTTGTGAACGTCCATCTAAGGAGGAATCACTCGAATAAACTACACGCATTATTGGTTGCATATGTCTTGTGAGGCCAAATGGTCATTGTCTGTAGTTTTTTTCTCTGAGAAGAAAGTTGGTTGAATAGCAAGATCGCATCTGGCTGATTATGTGTATTGGTCTGCATGTGAATAAAATCAGTGATATTTGCTGTGTGAGAACATTATTACTGAATATGCTGCCAATGAAGTATATCTATTGGCTGTGCCCGACGGGTTATTTTTGTTGTGCTTTCTGGAGAGACGTTATGTTCAAAGTTATAAATTACGAAAAACTGAGGAGAATTACGGGAAATGATCACCGCACCCGCGTTGTGTGTAATTACTGTTAGCATGTATATGGCTTGTAATTCGACAGTGTACAGTGAATATAATTATTTCTTATCTCTCTCATTTTTGAAATTCATTAAATTTATATATGTAATTTCCAGAATGGATAAGGAAAAGTGGATACGCAAATAATTTCTAGCTTTGAATCTCAATTAAGTGTACTTGAGACAAGAACCCAATGTAATTATCATCAACACATACAACTTACAGCTTAGACCTCCAGTAATTCCATCTCAGAAGCAGATTTTACATCACATCAGAGCCAAAGATTGATAAGCCTCATGACGTTTAGGCAACACGTACAACAAGTGCTAAGTTAACATCTTGTTGAAAAACATACACAATGTCAAAAAAAAACGCCATAATGTCAAAAAAAAAAATCGGCATAATGTCACTATACACAGACATGGTAGCACCACACAATCATCTATTAATAAAAGTGGCGTTACTATCTGTCTTGCTGTCACTACGTAGAATGACACTGCCTGTCACTCAGTCCAAGAAAAAATGTGTAGTATGGGAACTGAAAGATTATCACGGTGGATTTTTCCGATTTTTTTAAAAGCCTATATTTTAAAAAGTACACGACGTTTTTTTCATATTTTTCTGATAACTATTATGACTTGGCATATCCTCCGTTTACGGCTTGACGTCGATGTATATAGGAAACTATCAAGTTTGGAGAAAAGTTCATTAGAACCTTTTCTGTTTAGAACAAAAAAAAATTGTACGATGCAAAAAAACAATTTTCGAAATTTAGAAAAATTGTTTAGATCATTTTTAACGCAGCTTTGGTTCTCGTAACGTGCATATCGTCGGTCTCCGCACGTATAGGCGTAATTGACAAAAAAAATTTAAAATCGAGTTACGCCGTAATTTCATATGTTTTGTAGTCTCTCACCTCATGAAGTGACCAAACTGTATATCAGTTCGTTGCTTAGAAATAAAATTCTTAAAAAATTGCGTAAGTGATAAAATTTCGAAAACAATTTTCACCTACCGGCTTAATTAGATTTACGCCCCTGCGTTAAAACTTGTTTTCTGAATTTGACCGATAACTATATCGCAGGTGTCTCTAATAATATGTAAACATAACATATAAATATTGTTGTGTTGTGAATGTCGACTTAAACAAAATGTTTATTTTTCTAGTCATTTACTTTTGTTTGTACTTATAATATTATGTAGAGAATAAAACAAATTTTATTTTTAATACAGTATTTTCGATACTTTGATACCCATGTCCAGTTTCAAATTGTTGGCGTAACTACACAAT